GACGCACCCGTCGGGTCCGATCAGCTGACCTCCTTGAGTGACGCAGAAAATTCAGCCACGCGGATTCGCCATATATTGCCCCAGGGCAGCAAATAGGCGGCGACTCGGTGAACCATTAGACTGCGCGCCTGGTGGCCGAAATGGGCAAATCTGGGAGGGCCTAACCACCGAGCGATTGGACACGATCGCTGCATCGCAGCTCGAAAAAAGTTCGGACTTTACAGCTCAAGATCGGGTCCAGTGATTGCGGTCGCGGGAACGCCTCAGAGTTGCAAGAATTCGCCATAATATGGCGCCACATGTCAAACCAAACTTGATTGCCCGGTTCGTCCACAACCAACGTCACAATCCGATTTAGTCAATCAAAGAGCTTCGAAAGCGCATCTTCATAGTACTCAATGCTATTTGGGCGTCTGTTGTCACCGACTATAGCCCAGTCAGGCACAGTGAAAGAAGCGCTATCCTGCGCTTTCTTTGGTATGTGATTAGTTTAGCCGATGATGGCGAGTCCACGAGCGCCTTGATGGTTCACTTTTGGAGCTGCTTTACCGGCTCCAAAGGATCGTGGCATCAACTACGGTTGGACTTAAAGTGAAACGAAGTGTAGGGGTTACTTGCCGCGCTCGGGGGCAAGTGGGCGGTAGTGGCAGAAAGGAAAGAGATAGAGAGAAATAAACGCCGAGAGAAACTGTACGCGACTGCAGTAACTGGCGCTGCACATAGGTCGCGGACGATGGGGCCGCTCAAGCACGTTCAGCCGCGGTCCATAGATTACCTGGTCGGTAATTGTTTCGTCATGCTACGGGGATGTTTTACCTGATGAATAATAGACTCCTCAGAGTTGCTCTTCCGACGTTAGGGGGCAATCAGTAAGATCGTATGGATAAGCTAACGGATGGCTAGGGGTGAGGATAAGCCACTGTGAAAAGTAGGAAAGTTGCCGGATGCGTCGACTATTCCATCAAATCGTGCAGAGTCACCGAAAAAAAAAAAAGAAAGATTGTAAGCGCCATCTATTCTTCGGACCTAGAGATTATATTATTTCGAAGCAATTGAATCACCATGCAAAGGCTGCTACATCTTCATTAAAAGGGTCATCGAAACTCTTAAATATATATATTTTTTTTTGCTTTTACTGCCGCATGAATTAGTGCCACTTGTAGCGACAAGATTCACCAGGGGGCAATAAAAAAGAAAGTTCGCATAGAACCGAGGAGCGTATATAAGTACCGCGAAGTTCAGGTTACATCGGTATTCCCAGCATGCGTGTTGTCCGTCTCATGAGATAGCGCGGTACTTCCCAAAAGGGTTGGTTTTAGATGTGTTTAGTTTTATATTAAGCCAGAGTCGCGTACTTTTACGTGAACGTTCAAACATGCGCACACAAATTTGTTTCTCTTACTGTGATACACATGAAAGGCCATTTCTTTTTTTCCCCCAGGGTGGTCTGAGGGGTGTTGTCTGGACGGATTGTGCGCAGGCAGTGATCTCCGCATGTGCACCAGTGGTAATAATCGCGAAGATAGTCTACGATTCCAATACAGGAGACCTGAAACTGCGACCATTCAACCTCAACGCATTGGGCCACTACGTTATAGAGTATGCTTTTCTTTCCGCCATTGCACGCTGTTTGAGAGATCACTCTAGCCAATTTTAGTTCGGTTGTCTAAGCAGACATTTTTCCCCATCTACGATGGGTCATTGAACAAGTTTTCATACACCATTTTGATCGTCATAAACAAAACAAAGAGTACGCATCGATGAGCGTTAAATCTCAACCCGAATATAACGCCAAGTCCCGGACCACTTGCGCAGGTTCAAAAGTTTCCGGTATCATAATTAAGAGCAACGCAATTTTTAGAAACATTCAGCCTGAAAATCGGACCCAGATCTCGGGTTGCGGTCGCCTTTCAGCTCAATCTATTTGTGGGCTTCGGAGTCAACAATTTCATATCTGAAGTTTTCATTAATTGCTTGTAAAGTTTGAACCAGAGAACGCCAAGCTTTGAAGCTTTAGCACCTCTCCCGACCGATAGTGCTACGTGTGTGTGGGGAGTGGGTATTTGGTGAGCATAGTGCATTCTTAGTAAACAAAAAGCTCTCTATATTTTGGGGACATCCTCCAATTATGCTTATAAGACTAGTAATTACTTCACGTGAAATATTACGCATTACTGACTTACACTTATTTAAATCGTTTAAAAGCTAAGAAACACAAAGACTACGAAGGAACACGTGCAACGTAGACGAGCACAAATGTTCACCTACTTTAGTCCAGACATGGGCAAACACTCCTGCGACAACAATCACCCCTTCTCATACAAAAGATTACAAAAAACATCAACTATATAGATTAATCTTTCGCACAATTGAACTGCACTCACATGTCTACAAATCACCATCAAAAAAGTTTTTTTGTGACCGAGTAAAACAGATGACATGCTAGCGTGATTGTCACCTGAAGATTTTATAAAAAAAACGCAACAATTTCTTATGTAATTAATGGGAATGGTACTGAGGGGAAGGTATACCCCTTCTCCCCCCTCCTCACCTCCTCATCCTGTTAGTTATTTCTCCCTCCGAACGGCGTTGCCGTCGCCTCACGAGAGTCACGTGTCCACACGGGGGTTATGTGAGCTCAATGAGGTCACGTGACGATGACGTCATCGTCATCGTGATGATGTCATCATTGACGTCACGTGTGACATCGTCGCGATGACGTCATCGTCATCGTCGCTCATAGTCATCGGTGGCGTCACCAGTGACGTCACTGATGCTGTCATCATCACTGGTGACGTCATCAGTGATGTCATCAGTGCCAATTACGATGACTACGAGGGTGTTGAGACGTCATCAGTGACGTCACTGATGACGCCATCAGTGACGATGACGATGCCGATGCCAATGATGTACCTGATGACGTCACCAGTGACGATGACGATGACGATGTCACTTATGACGTCACCATTGACGTCACGCGTCCCATAATGCACCGCGCGGTTACGCCGACGGCGACGGCGCTCAAGCCGGAAACGGGCGCCTAAGAGCTGCGATCTAAAACGCAACACTTTCTTATGTAAGTAATGGGAAGTACACTAAACACAAGCATAACTCGCTCCTCACCCTTGTTCATCTTTGGGAGAAAGACCCAGGCTCGGCGGAGTTGCCATAAGACGTCTGCTGCCAGTTGGGAAATCGTCTTGTCCGTCCCTGTGTTTTGTGCTCTTCCCAGTATTTATATTATCCTTAGCAGCATGCTCTCAATTCCAAGATTTATTTCTTTTTTTCGTCCCGCGACTTGATATTTTGATAGCTTTGGATAACTCTCAGGGAGGATATTACCCGCAACGTATGCGATATAGCGCCAAAACGCCACCACCCCTCGTAGAATAACATAGAAGTTTGAATGTAACTCGCCTTTAGTTTTTGCTACCGGCATTGTGCGCTTGTCGCCAACTTCCTAATATTAGCGCTCCCTACATCAGTCAGAAGATTTGGAGATGTGTGAAAAGCCAGAAGTCATAACTGAAACACACCGCATAGCAGCACGTGTGCAGCAACGGGATGTAGTTTTAACGCAGGATCATGCAAAGTCATACAGCATGCCACTGCTATTTCATAAGTATGCTATCTGCCGTTCAGCGTACAACTTCCCGCATCGAGGTCAGCACCACTATTGTCCTCCGATCGTCGCTCGGATATTTCAGCTAATTTTGTTCGAGACTATTCAGTGCCAGACAACGTTTGCGTGAACTTGACATGAGTACCTTTTTGCAAAAAACTTTAAAAATTGCTTATCCCAAAGGGTCCGGCTTCTGTTAGTGCTTCGAATTAGCACTTTCAATTTTTCAATATGGGAACCAAAGCACTAAAAAGTACACTTTGTAAAAACTTAAGAAAAAATTAACCATAAAACGACAGGACAGGTGCACTATTATTTTGTCTTCAGCGCACTTTTTTTATTCTCTGTTTTTTTATTTAGCACAAACTTTTTCTAGGAAAGGTTTCCTTCAAGCAGCTTGCAATGTCTCAAGGGAGCCTAGAGCATAGCTATTCATTTCTCGGTATTCAATGCTGGCGATTTAAGCGCTCTTGATGCCGGCACTGATTTCGTGTGCCGTCTCGTTGAGAAAAATTCGTTCTGAGAAAAATTAGGTCTACTATATCTAGGCAAGCTCGTTTTTTCGACAGTGTTCATTGCGCGCACCAATGAGCATTATGAACTCAAACGCAAGAATACCTGAAGGAATATAGGCACTGTTACATATTCCTTCAACGTCTCACATACGAAACATAAAGTGGCTTCAGTAAAATCACTTATTACTGTTACGTTAGAACCATACTAGCATTCTAGGCCTGTTTACACATACACCCCAGCGCGACGACAGCACTATTAGTGAGCGCAGAAATACCGCTGAGCTAGATGATACTTTGTGACACATTGTCTATTCAGCGCTGCACTACGTGCAATTCCAAGTGGCATCAGTGTAGTTTTTATTGTTATTTTAGCGATGGGGGGGAGGGGGGGGGGGGGGGGCTTGATATAACCGTGCACCGGCCTTATTGTAAGTACTGCGTCCACCCTAATGTCTGGATAGTTTTCAGCACTGAATTATCGCTGATCTAGCGCTGTGCTGTATATTTGAAGAGATCATCACAGTTATTATTGAAAAAACGTCTCTGTAGATGCTACAATTATTTTTGCGGTTAGATACCACTGTAGCGTGTATGAAGAAGCAACCTTACATAAAAGAAGGAACGCTGCTGTCCCTGCGATGCTAAAACAAAAGAGCAAGACACGAGTGTTTTCTGCAAGGTCTTGAAAGTGGTCAGTCGCATAAAAAACTGCCGAACTTTTTTTTCTTTTTTTTACTTTCTTTTGAAAGATTTTGGTTAATTTTTTAATGACATTTGTTGCGCCTTTCGTTTTCTTACTTGTCAACATTGGATCCGAATTTCAAGATTCAAAGTGTCGTATAATCTTTATTTACAGCACCCGAATGGACTTCACAGAGGACGAAAATTTCTGGGCGTGCACGATTGGTCTATTGGTCATTGTCTTGTACCGTACCGGAATCGATCAGATGGTCGTTCAAAGGTATCTGGCTGCCAGAACTCTGCAGGAAGCACAGAGGTATGGCAGGTTAATTTCTGGGTGGTGATCACCTGGCCTGGTTTTCAAACAAAACAGTTAATTTATAAACATTGTGTTAATTGTGAACGAGAGGCCGGAACACGACAGTATACTTTCTAACACAAATTACACACACTTTCATCTCTCTACTTTGTGATAGCTTAAAGGGACACTGACAGGGTATTTATGCTCGCCGAGGTTTTTAGTTGTATGTGACATATGAGAGCTCAACTACCCAGAACAAAATTTGCGGCTCGAAATTCGGTTTCTTTCCGCCCGAAAACCGCCGATCAAGAACCGGCCGGTTCGAGTCTCGCTCACTCTCTTTTCCGCGGTCACGGGCCGTTTTCTAAGGTATCGATGCGACCACCAAAATTTAATCAAAGTCGTGGGTCACTGAAAACACACACTCAATATTAAAAATAGAAAAAAATATGAAACCCAATTTTTGTGGCTTCTAAAAAGCTGCAAATACGTTGATTGAAAAAAAAAAAAGTTCCACAGACAACCGGAAGCATTCTGTGCGTTCGTCGTTTCGCGTATCGTGGGACCCGCGGGAACGGCGATGGCAGCGGACGACGGGCGTCGGACCTCTATTTCAGAACTGTCGTTCGCGGTACCGGCGATTGCTGTCTACTTTTAAAAGAGAAATTTGGGACTGATCAAAAGAATTGGTATTCATCCCGTACGACACGCCCCACCACCAAGCCGATTTGCACGAAGACGTCGCCAAGCCGTCGCCGAGCCGTCGCTCCCTTCTCGTGGCTGAAGACATCGCTCGCGCAAACGTCAAGCACGACGTGTCTACTTCGAGCTGAATATGCACGCGTACGATTTCTTTACTAGGTGAGAATGTCGCCAATGCGTGGTGCATCCCGACTTCGACCCGGGAATGCTTTTGCTAGAGGAAAATCGGCAGCAAACTTTCCAACTTACAGTTCATCGGCTGAATTATTACTAAGGAAAGAGATCCGCTGATTTCGATATGCCCCAGTAGCTTAGTGGGAAAGACGTCCGCTTCACACGCGGTAGGACCGCGTTCGATCCCCCGTGGAACTTTTTTTTTTTCTTTTTTTTTTCAAATATATTCCGATGTCTACATTTCTTTTTTTTTTTTACAATTATTACTGAAGAAACAAACAAAAAAAAAGAAACAAATGTGGACGACACGTCGCTGAATTAAATGTTATGGGATTTCCTTTTTGACACCTGCGAACTCAATGTAATCACTTTCCACAAAATGCAAGGAGCATATAAATCAGGTAGCGTCCGCTTTCCGAGGTGCCCGTAAATGGTCTACAGGAATTGCAGCCAGCCGTTGGTCCCGATCCCGTTGATCTTTCGGAAACTCTGTCGCACAATGCCACTTCTGTTTCGGACGCAGGACATGTGAGCCAGCTCTTCACGCAACATCTTGGGTGTATTCTTTTCGGCGCCGATCAAAATTCACCACGGGCACTCACTACTCATCTCCAACTCCTCAATGTACAAAACAACTCATCTTGGAGTACAGAACGACGAGCGGAACATACATAACTGCAAGAGAATACCATGGCGAACAGTTCCCGTACGCCGCATGTCGTCTGCTATGGAAAGGAGAAAAAGAAAAAAAAAAGCACACGGTTGGGTTTACCACGTGACTTCCGCCACTCACTCTCTTCTCTCCACTTCTCCGACCTCCGTCGGGTTTCGGTTTCGGTTTCGAGCAGTTGCGTCTTTTGGCTTTATTAAAAAAAATACGCTACTATGTTGCAAAATATTAATAGGGTTGTCCTCCGACACCATAATAAAGCGCCTGGCAGAAAATGGAAAAAAAATGTTGGGGGGGGGGGGGTGTCAGTGAATCTTTAAGCAACCTTGGGCGTGGTGAGTTCAGAGAAGCTTATAATCGCTGCGAAGCCAGACAAATTGAAGCATTAGCCGATAAGAACGTTGTTAAACAAATCAGAAGGCAAATAGTGTTAATTTAATGAGACGCACCCTGGGGGGGAGGGGGGGGGGGGTAATTCTTCAGCTGTCAGTGACGATAAACGAAACAAAAGCATTGGACAAACATAAGCCAATAGATACCACTTTTTGCGTGTAAACACTTCGCCCCCCGTGAGAATATAATTTATTCTAAATGAACATAATAGCTGGCAGCGAATCAAAGTTCTGAATTAGTGACCAGTAGGATGTCTGAGGCTTATACTGCAATTAAATTAGAAGGTGCAAGCGAGCTAAGCTAGAATGACGAAAATAATCCTGCAGTAGGAGAACAAAAAGGGTAAAAAAACAAACACAAATTGCCAAAAACAGCTAGGTGACTCGTGCGCCACTGAAAAAAATCCGCCTGATCTGGGCATGGAACCCGGGACCTCTCCACTTCCAGTGGAGCGCTCTACCAACTGAGCTAACCAGGGGCTAAACGTCAGTAAAGCAAACAGGTAATAGAGAGCTTTAGGAGGTCGTTTCCACATGAACGGTTCGCCCTCGAACCCATCCGCGACGCCACTGCGCATGCCCGCGCGAGTCGTTCGGGGAGTCGGAAGGCTCTTCTCGTTCGTTTCTCCCATTCCGGCCGCTGGAGTCGTCACCGCAACGCAGCCAGCACCGTTCACGACTCAGGTAAAAAAAAGATGGCGGTCGGTTCGGCGACCGCCTTCGCCGACCCAGCCGAGCGTTAGGCTTAGGGCAGCGGGAGGCGATTTGCCGTCCTGTTTGTCTGCTTCATCTGAGAGGTTAAACCAAATCATTTCGAGGACTGCTTACAATGGTAAGCGATCGTGAATGCTGTAAACCGCGCATGCTAGTAAATTTTTGCGATCTGCGGGCAGAATAGCTGCCGTGGCGACCGCGAGCAGACTAAATGATTTGGTTCGACGGCACACAACGTGAACGATCGTTCAAGTTCAAGATGACGGAGACACGCCACATTCCTTTACGGGCGTTCAGACACTTTTTACTTTATCTAGCTTCGCAGTTCTTGAAACTCCGGCCCACAAATGTTACGTCGGCCGTCTTGTTTACATCAGTCGTACGCCGCAAACACGAGCTGCCACCACGGTGTCCGCCCCCGTCGCCACGGATTTACACGTTGCAGAATGTTTCACATGCTTACTAGAAGATGGCGCCACCGTTAAGCACTATCATCATCATCGTTTACACGGTCGCGCCACTTTCACGATTCGCTAAAGTATGTCAAATTTGGCGTACGGTTTCACAGAACGTACCAGCTGTACCGTTCGTGATTTCGGAACCGTGCGCTTGAAAAACGACTCGCTAAAACTCCCTATTATCAGTTGCCGCCAGTCTAACACCAACAAGGATGAAAGGCTTGCAATTTAAGGTAATGATTATAATGCAATTAAATGCAAAGGTGCAAGCGAGCTGGATAAGAATGTCGAAAATAATCTCTAGAGAATGGGAACAAGCGTGAAAAAAGGTCTCAGGAACACGAGTAGAGACAATTGGGCTGCATCAGAAACGCACCCCGTAAATTTGGTCTGTTGGCCGAACGCTATTACGAAGTTGTGCTCAAATATATTTTTTATTCTCATGCGGTTCGCACCATCCAACTTCTGTTGCGTTTTTTTTTTTTTTTTTTTTTTTTTTTTACATTTGGGATACACTGGTACCTCTCGCGGCACCTGTTCACTTTTTCAAACAGGGCTCCTAAAATGTTTCACATCTGCAGCCCTAACGGCCGCCACATTTCCGCGCAACGACTTATGTAGAGTTAAAAGAGGGCCGCGGCATTAGCCTTTCAATTTATCCATGCCTGGGCCTTATCAAAATACTGGGGAAAATATTATTTTACCGTGCGGCAATCACACGCGAAAAGTGAACCCTACCCCAATGTGCACCTCTAAGGTACCGTTACTTACCTTCATTCAATCTAATTACTAAATAAGAGGTATCCACGGTCCGCGGAGTGAGGAAAGCATAATATTGCCACGCGTGTCGCCGAGTGAGCGCGTGTGTGGCGGATTGGTTACAGCGCTCGTCTGTCGCGTGGAACGTTCGGTTCCAGTCAGTTGAATGTTCATTTATTTATAATTTCAAGTTGGCTTTCTCGTACGTTTGAGAGCATCATCGTGTGATCGAGTTCTGAATGTTCTACGCGCCGAACATTCTACGTCAAATGTTCCACAAACCCACGCGTGTACATAATGGGCTCTGCGTGGCGAGCAGGAGTCAGTCTTCCGCCAGCGTTCGATCCTGCTGCCACGCAAACTTCGACGCCCGCGACGCTCTGCTGTCATCCTCTGTTTCCTTTCCTTTGTTTTGGGTACAAGTTCGCCCCATTAAATATTCTAGTTTCCTCAGTCGTTCTTTGTTTCGTCACCCCATCATTCGTGATAATATGCGAAAGAAAAGGAGATGTCTATGCTGAGTTGTCGCACTGTCTCAACCTGGGCTATACTAGCATCTTTAACATCTGATAAACCAAATTATTCTAATTCCTTAAAGGGGCCCTGCAACAACGTTTTGACTGTTTTTTTTTTTTTTTCAGCGAACCTGAGCGCACTGAAGGTAGTAACTTAATTAAACTTTTCTTTTCTTGAATTTCCTTTTATTTTAAAAGTTAAAGGCAACTTAAAATTATAAAAAAACAAGCAAAAAATAGCATCCTTCTCGACTTCCTTGGTCGTGGCTTGAGTGGCCGTGAACTTGAGGAGGGGTAGTGAGCTCAGCGAGCGCTCACGGCTGCCGCACTCCGCGTCGACGGCTCGACAGGGCGCCTCTGAACCGTGTGCAGGATAGGCTGTATGAAGCTGGCAGCCAGGGTGGCTGGCATTGCATTTGCTGTGCGATTAATCACTAATTCGGCGTGACACTTCATTGGCCACAAACGACAGCAAACACGGGGTAAAAACCTGTTCAGAACGGGAGCCACCTCGCGCTGCCAACCACCAAACGGCCAAACCGCAAGCCAAACCAGCTCGCCGAAGGCCTTCGGAACGCTGGGAACCGGTCGGATCCTCGAGACCGTACACGACTGCAGCGCCGCCGCCTACATCAAGGACCTTTTAACGCTCGCCGCTCGTCGGTGCCTGATCCCACTACCCCCTTCTAGTATGCGCTGCTTTTCCCACCACTTGGTGGTGGGTATCTCGATGGTTCATTGCTTGTTTCCGTACTTTAGAAACTGCATTGGTTTCTTTTCTGATTTAAAATGCTGAACAAAAACTAATTTCATAAATAATTAAAGCGGTTCCCGCCATTTATGTTTTGTATTTCGACTAAAAAGAACCTTTTAACGGCTCAGGCCAGAACTAGGGCCAGGACCAAATACTTTACATACCGCGCGTTTTCGGCACCGCGGGTCGCCCCTGTAGGTGGAGGAGGTTTCCGCGTCGTCTAGTTAAAATATGGCGCAGTGATATTTAGTGACTCTCTCCGTGCACGCTGGCTGTTCTAAACCCCAAGAGACGTGGAAACCGCACAAAAGTTAGACGCTGAAATATGATTGCAGGGCCCCTTTAAGCTAATATTTGAACTGCATCGTTTGCAGCAAACAATTTGCATCCAAGGGCTCACCTGCAAAACTACAGTTAACTGATATCCGCTACTACCGACTTTGATGAGGGTACTCAATGATATCCTGAGATAAACTCAAGCCACGAAGGTTCTTATTTATACTATGTTCGTCATGGTGGAAACAAATCACAATTTTCTTTTAAGTCGAATAAATCAGACTTATTTGATTTAAGTAGCATTCATTGAATTTCAGAACGATTGTTTTTGTTTTAATCAGATTAATTTCATTATTATTACAACAACCCGATTATTATAGTTCTTTTTCACTAGATGTATTATATCACTACATGTATCTATCCGATCACTAAAGATAAGTGGAATGATGAATTACTGCCACTTAAACTTCTAACGTACAAGTTTATTAACGAAAAGGATTGACGTAAACCACACCATCCTAAAACAAATAAAGCTAAGTGTTATAAGTAATAAAAAATGCGCATTTTTCTTTGGTGTTCTGATTCGGTTCATATAGGGGATTACGTTTCTTGTTCAGGTTTCTCTCACTTTGTTATTTTGTTCCAGAGGTGGTTAGGAAACTGCCGAATTAGTGGGAAGGAATCTCAAAGCTCTGGATTTACTGGCACCGCTTTATGATTGTGTTCAGCCTTCTATCAATATGTCTTGCTTGATGTTGATTTAATGGAAATACAGAACAGAGGCACACGGAAGGCCTCAAATCATAGACAGACGTTAAATTAAACAATATTTGGGGATTGTGTTTGCGGCAAAGGTCTCATCTAAAGCATCATAAGCAAGTGTATTTAAAATGGAAGTTTCGTCATCTTCATTTATATTTTACACACTGCTAGTGGCGCAGCTAAGACTATTTGGCGTATAGTGTATTACTGAGAAACAGTGAGTATACACTCCATTCAGTTACAGGTGTTACGTGTATTTTTTTAAACTAACATATACCTCCTTTTTTGCACCTTCCGTCTTCCGGAAGTTCAGTACATTAGTCTGCAAAATAGCACAGTACAGATAAATACACGCGAAATAATGTAAAAATTATCATGAAAATAAACATGTGCATGAACGTGTGATAATGCTGTCTACTTTCATGAAATTGAACTTTTCCTGACTATTGTTGCCTTCTAAATTCCCACCTCCCTGTAGAGATACCCACGTGCAATGAACTCAAACAACGTATCTTTATATCACGAAGGTGAGATGTGAAGATTGTAAAAAAAAACGTGTTAATGTTACTCGAAGAGGTTAAAATAAGAGCTACTACTAAGAAATAATGCACCGTATAGCATTAAAATATTTTGTATGCAAGACGACGCAGCGTTTTTGAGTTGTATCTTTTATTTAACGTATTTCAGTAAACTTAAAACGTTTTTATAATCGTCACATCGCACATTTATGGCATGTAAACACGTCGTTTTACTTTATGCAGTAGCGCGACATAAACAGAAAAAAATAGGAATTAAAACTTAACCTTACCGATTCGTCACTTTTGCGCGCAATTTAAAACGGTGTAAAACTGTAATTTAAACTTTCTAAAAAAACGCAGTTTCCGTTTTTTTTTTTTTTGTTTTTTTTTAAACGTATGTGCTTAGAAAAAGAATCAACGTGATTTATTGATGCCAGCCCGTAATTCGATGTAAAATCTTATCAAGCATGACGATTCAAGAAACATTACCTCTAAGGTTATGCGTAGGTTTCTGAAAGAATAATGTGCAAATTGTTAAGCACCTTCAGTTGAAACTGGGTAGTATACTGATACACGAAAGTTTGCACAATAACACAAGCATTTTGACAAAGTAAGGTGTCGCGCAAAGTTGTTGCGGAAAGGCGAAATGGTTTCGATGATTCTAAGCTGTTGCATGTTAGAGAAACGTAACTATACTCTTACCTGTCAACAAAAGGTTTGTGTAATGCTATTACCATTAATATTTGCAATGTTCTTTATGTATGGCAACTGTTCAAACATAAATAGCCTACTGGGTTTTTCCTGTATTGTTATTGCAGCCCTTACCTACTTAATTGTGTTGTGCAACCTTCAATATAAAATAATAAGTAGGCTCATGTTCAAAAAGATAAACATAAAAGCCTGAAAAAAACCATGAATTCTTGTGTTTTTTGACTTCTGTCTTTCTACCAGACTTAGCAGCTGAATCAGAAGGGGTGTAAATTCTGAACCTTCCCCCATCTTCGTCTTTCTCGATCAGTGGACCTGGCTGTTGAGCTGTACAAGATCCGTTTATTGCCAGTGTTGCGTGAAGGTAGCACGAAGTTTATGAAACATAAAGAAGTGCCGGCCATTTGTGTCCTTTCCATTTGCCTCCCATCCCATATTGGTTGCGAAATATCTGGAATTGTGTTGTATTGTTGTTGTTGTTTTTTTGTTAATGTACGCGCATTGTACATCACGACTCCATTTTTATTGTGAGCTAGCATATTAAATTGTGGAGATTTTATGTCGCGGAAAAGGGGGCAAAGTAACTTTAAATGATAGGGATATGCATTATTAAGCGTGCTAAATGGTGAGTGGTAAAAGCAATGTCAAATAATTTAATCAAACCGCATTGTTTGTTTTCCATTATTTACTGCCTTTTAACTAAATATTGTTTTCTTTTTTTACGCAGGACAGCTTGTTGGGGAACTGCTTTTCTTTTGACATTTTTTATTCTTGTTCTGGCTATGGCATTTTCACTAATATATTGGTTCAGAGACTGTGATCCTCAGCTTTCTGGTGCCATCAAGCAGCTTGACCAGGTGAACAACTAAAGTTATTAAGAATACACACCAACCGCGAAATTCAGTGTGGTTCTAAGATAGTGTTATTTATGCACGATTCTCGCCCATTCGTTTCCTTATCCAGTTCGGTGCAAAATTCTTGCAAATCTATCAATAATTCGTTCAAGATATACGTCGTCTGCCATTTGTGGCATTAAAAAATCTTTCCAAACCTTTCCTTGAGTTTATGGGCTTCTCTGTCGATTTTAACGGGGTCAATCTAAAACACGAAGGCCAAAATAAGTTCAGCTTCGCAATACTGAGTCAGCGTGTCAGCGATTGACAAGCGAGTTCAGCTCCACATGCGCGACACGGAAGTTAATTAATGCTCTTGCCGCATAAGCGAATGTAACTTACTTTCAGATGAGCCTCGCAGACTGTCACTTGGGGGGGAATAAGTGTTATATATTTACCTTCCGTTGATACGAACCGTGCAGCACGTGTCATGTTCGCGAAGTAGTAAATGCGCGGGGGGCGGGCCATTCCAGAGCTATGCGGACGATATAGAGCGACACGCGGCGCGGCTTTGTTTACCAACTCGGCCAGAAGGCCACGCATGCGCAGAAGGTATGTGGGCAAAAGCGGCCCGGCTCTCCGTGTTTTCACCATTCCGTTGTGTGGCGTGCGCTTGTTGTTGACGTTGTAAAGACGCTTCTAGCTTGATTTGTGCGTCGTATTTCTTGCCAACCTATGTCGTATGTTATGCCCGACTATTTGAGCTCGTTACCCGAGCCTGAACGGCAGCGGTATTGAGACAAAAATGTTGTGTGAACGGCGTTACCTTAGATGATCCGTACGCCGCAAACAAGGACTGCTGGAGTCCCGATATAAATTGCTGTCACCGGCGCCGATGGCTCATGTTGTCGTTTATTCAGTTTCTTCGCCAAGCCAGTTCACGGCCGACGTGGTGCAGGCGTAAAGGTCACTTGAGGCCCACAATTACTTCGAGCCGCTTTCCGCGCTGCCGGCCTGATCAGAACAGTGGATCAGCAGACTTTGCGTCTACGAAAGTGTATTGATTATTTGATTAAATACATAAAGCATCCTTCTAGTCACGGTATGATATTTCTATTACCCTCATGATCACAAGACATGACAAGCGGTCACGCATTTTTCCGTTCTGCCGCACGGTCACCTTCCGCTTGGCAGGACGCGCGTAGCGAGCAGTGTTGTAGCCGTTACCTGGAAAAAGTAACGAAACATGTCCCTCGTTACTTGCAAATAAAAGAAACGCGTCACCGATTTACGTTACCTTTAAATAAAAGGAAAGCGTTACCGTTAAAAAGTGACGCACAATACTCTTGCCTTACTTTTATTTGTAAATTACCAGTAACAGCTTTTTTTTTTCTGCGACAGGGTTTTTTCACACTGGGCAAACAGCGTAGGCATTGGGGCTTTTCCGAAGTGGGACTTTTTGCATAAAGAAAAGACAAGCAAAATTTTTGAAGGTAGGTGGAATGTAGTGCAATAATTAATGACTTGGCGCCTATGCTTGGTTTCAGCTTTTGTCCAGACGCAGCCGACTCTACGAACTACTGGGACCAATCAAGCAGCATCACAAGAGCGAGTCACTGGGTCGTTCTTGTTTATGATTGGTTCAGCGATGGTAGAACACGTACAGAAACACGACGAACATTATGATGGTGTGTTTTTGACTCTGTCGATTGGTCCCATCAGCTCGTAGCGCCGGCTGCGTCTGGGCCGAAGGTAGGACAAAACACAAAAGCACGAAAAAAAATTTATTTTTTCAAATCTTGGAAAGAATATGTAACGAGTAAGGTAACTAGTAGTACGCGCTATTCGAAATAAGAAGCGTCAGTACATTCCCCGTTACCGTCTTGAAAAAGTTACGAGTACGTCATTGCGTTGCAGAAAAAGTAACGCGTTACCGGCAACGCCGTTCCTTGTAACGCGTTGCCGCCAACACTGGTAGCGAGCCACCGACAACCGCTTGGTCGGTGTTTTGTGCGCGATCACCGTAGGAACAGAATCTGAGGGGTTTCCATCAGACGTCGGTTTTCCTGCAGATAAGCAAGCCTCGGGACAGTGATTGAAACGGAAGCCACACTTGTTTTCAAAAAAATGCTTCCCGCACAAACGGTCGTCCCCGCGAGGCGACCATTATTTTCGATTTACGGATATTATCCACCTTGAACAAAAAGTAAGGGCGCAAACGAGCTGGTTTACATTGCACATGGTTGAAAAAAAACCGAGACTGCGGGTAAACGACAGAACACTAAAAAGTCTCTAACACAGCTGAAATTTTTATTTTCCTAAATCTGGTTATATAGGTACTTCGATACAAAAGAAATTATCCACCTTTTGCGCTTTTCAGAGTCAGCTGGGAACTTGGGGAAACTCACTCCGCTACGTTTGCTGCACATTTCGGTGCAATTAACGGCTGCACAGCTTTGCGGCATGCTGAAAGGCTATGACGGCCATTCTAAACGCCCGCCCTTTTGCCCACACCTCCCGGCTCCGGCGCGATCACAGCGCCGCCGCAGCTCCGTGGACCGTGACGTCAAGTTCGCGTGTCGGTCTATACCAGTCGCGACAGCTAAGTTATAAAACAAAACAACAACAACATATATTTACCAGAGCGTCCAAAGTCTTTATCGTTTTGCTATTGTCAGAAGAGAAAAAAAGAACTTGTTTGTAAAGTCTGCAATCCTACAGGCTTGCATGACAGATGCTCTGCTCCAGACGACAATAATAAGCAAGAGGTACGTCTAATCTACATGTGACTGGCGTAGGCGCTAAATTCGCGGGGGTGGTGGGTAATTTTCGCTGCTGTCAATCTGCTTAAAACAAAAGGGGAAGCAGTAACGAAATACAAATTTGAAAGAAAGCAACTGATGCAGTTCGCGAGTCCTTGTCCGTAAAACAGCTGCACAAATCGCCCGCGACTTTCATCCTGCACGACAAAAAGCGTATACCTACCCTGTAAGCACGGGCGAAGGCACCTCCCGTCTCACGAATTCCTTTTGCCTCTAATTGGCTTTTGCATGTGCGCGCCTAAGGCTGCTGTTACACAGAGGCGACGGTTGCGTATAGAATCGATGTTCGACGTAAATGATGATGTTGGCGGGCGAAGAGAAATTTGGTTCACGTGATTGTTCCTTGTGGATTCCTTCGGTCGAATTCGTGTTAACGGCCCATGCCAACCCATACACGCTGTTTACAAACAAGCCAGCTTTTCCCATATCCGGTCTGCGCATGCGCAAAAACCAGACTCGCGCCATCTGTCTGCCACGCGCTAGAGACCGTGGATTGATGAAAAGGGAGGAGAAAATAGGTGGGACGGTGGCATCGCCAAGATGACAGTCGTTAACAGCTTCGTGTTCATTGCACAGGTACTGCTGCTTCTGCCGCCGCACTGGGCCGGTGACGCCGTCAAAAGCTGTCCGGCGGCGATTCATCGAGCTGAGCGCATCATCACGGCTGATAACAAGGAAACAGCGACTCATACAGACCGAAATTTTCTTCGGTGGACCTTCAACGAAAACCTGGAATTCTCAAGATTCACATCGCCATCGACATCGGCTGCCTCAGCGCCAGCGCTGCCAAGTATAAAAGACCACCCCCGATCTGCACTCCACTGTGGGCACGGTGGCATCGCCAAGATGACAGTCGTTAACAGCTTCGTGTTCATTGCACAGGTACTGCTGCTTCTGCCGCCGCACTGGGCCGGTGACGCCGTCAAAAGCTGTCCGGCGGCGATTCATCGAGCTGAGCGCATCATCACGGCTGATAACAAGGAAACAGCGACTCATACAGACCGAAATTTTCTTCGGTGGACCTTCAACGAAAACCTGGAATTCTCAAGATTCACATCGCCATCGACATCGGCTGCCTCAGCGCCAGCGCTGCCAAGTATAAAAGACCACCCCCGATCTGCACTCCACTGTGGGCACGGTGGCATCGCCAAGATGACAGTCGTTAACAGCTTCGTGTTCATTGCACAGGTAGGAAAACGCTATCCTTTCTGTTACCGTAGCAACAACCTTTGTCTTTTTTTGCTGCCGTGCCCACGGACCTGTTTTGCCTTGTTGCGTGAAATGCGTGCACGATTTGCTGATTTGCTCATGCTGTGCGGAGATATAGAGACCAATCCCGGTCCTGACAGGGCAGCGACAATGGAAATGTTAACTAATATCTCGGTCGACATTAAGGAAATTAAACTGAGCCAGGCTGCGACAACATCGAGACTAGAGAAAATAGAATCGCGCCTCGAAGGCCTTGAAGAACTCAGGTCCGTTGTGAACAAAAACTGCGACAAGACCAACCGCCTCGAAGCCACCATCACATCACTCTCGAACAAAATTGATGATTTAGAGAACCGTAGCAGAAGAAACAATCTAATTATTTTTGGTCTTTCTGAACTACCTAACGAAGAGAGTAGCACCCTCGAGGATAGAGTAACTAAAGAGATTCTTGGTGGAAAACTAAATGTAAAGATTAATGGAATCGATCGCATACATCGCCTTGGGAGGCCAGCTCATGGCAAAACCCGTCCAGTAATATTTCGACTCGTAAACTTTAAAGATAAATTGAATATTTTACGCAACTGCAATAAATTGAAAAATGAACGACTCTCGATTAGTGAAGACTACTCAAAGCGAATTCAGGGCATTAGAAAAAAATTACTTGATAGCTCGAAATCAAATAAACTTGCTGGTGATAAGGTCACGCTTACCTATGACAAAATTAAGATAAATGGCACAGTATACATTTGGAATGAGGCCATAAACGATAAGGTTCCCATATCTGAGGAAACCCGGAATCCCAGTACGTGACCAAGCCCTACTCAAGTCAACCGTGTATATGAATTTCGATTACTAAACCTAAACGCGCGAAGCATCGTAAATAAAACTGATAAACTTGAAGCTGCTGTTTTGAATACCCAACCTGATATTATAGCAATGACAGAAACTTGGCTATCAGACAGCATTCTTGACTGTGAAATCACGCCCCCAAACTATACGATTTTGCGCAAGGATAGAGGTTCTCGCGGTGGTGGAGTAGCGATTCTTGTAAAAAATGGCATTGTATGTACCCCCTTACCCGATTGCCCAGAGATTGAGTGCCTGTGTTGTAAAATTGCTTATAAAAATACGTGCTGCTATATACTTGTTCTCTATAGACCTCCCACTTCCACTTCAGTGTTTTTCAAAAGTATGTATAGTTATATCAATGATAATATTAATGTGAGCAGTAAGATTATAATTGCAGGTGACTTCAATCTACCTTCCTTAGAATGGTCCTCTCTATCGAAATGTACAAAATCATCTCTCGGCGCAGATATCCTTACAGATCTATGTTTTCATTATAACCTCACCCAAATAGTTACTGAAAATACCCGTATTCAGGGAACGTCGCAATCAATGCTCGATCTCGTCTTTGTCACCGATCATTTCCTGAAAGATGAACACAGCGTAGAAGTTTTAAATGGCATATCTGATCATGAGATGGTTTTGTGCTGCTTCAAAACGAACATCCCAACTTCTGGCAATCCCCAGACTTGTAAGGTTCTGAACTTTGACAGAGCAGATGACGTTGGCGTGCTCGACTTCTTTGATACACACTTCGATAACTTTCTTCTACTGTCCAAGAGCGACCGTAACACTGTAGATATGCTTTGGAACGAATTCAAAACGGCAGTTAACACGTGTGTCTCATGTTTTATTCCACAACGAACTAAACGAATTAAGAAAAACCCTTGGATAACGCGAGAAATCATCCATGTAAAGCGCAAAATAAATAGGCTTCGTAAGAAGGCAAAGAAAACCAGAACTCTTCTAAATAAGAACAAAATGGCATTACTCAACAGCGATCTTGGACAAAAAATCAAGTCGGCTAAATACAATTTTTTCAATATCACTCTCCAATCGTTTATTCAATCTTCACCCGTCAAATTCTGGAACTATGTCAACCCAAAAAACAAATCGAGTCTAGAAACGCTCTTCGGTGACAAAGCAAATCTTGCAAAAGCCTTCAATGATTATTTTCTTTCGATCTTTACAACAGATAATGGTAATGCACCCTCATTCGCGTCCAATTCTCCAGTCTTGGCTGTAAATGATGTTGTAATTACCGAACAGGGTATCTTATCTCTTCTACTCAACCTGAACACAAAAAAAAGTGCTGGGCCGGACGATATACCAAATGAATTTCTAAAAAGATATGCCGAATGGGTAACGAAATATCTTGTTATAATATTTACACAATCACTTAACAAAGGGCAACTTCCTAAAGACTGGAAGTTAGCGAAAGTCATCCCCATTCATAAGTCTGGAAACAAAAACGAATTTGCGAACTACAGGCCCATCTCCCTTACCTCAACTTGCTGTAAATTGCTCGAACACATTGTTCTCAACCATGTCTCCACCCACATCGAGAATAATCAAATACTTACTCCATATCAGCACGGTTTCAGACGTCACCTTTCAACAGTGACGCAACTTGTTGAAAGCATTCACGATTTTTCCACTGTCATAAACAATAGAGGACAGGTTGACGCCATATTCATCGATCTGTCAAAAGCCTTCGACAAGGTATCTCACCCAAAGCTATTGTTTAAGCTAGAATCTATACTAGGAGCAGGAAAAATTCTCAGGTGGATTGAAGACTACCTTTCAGATCGCTTCCAGTACGTAGCACTTAATGCGCACTCATCATTCAAAGGCAAAGTTTCATCGGGAGTCCCCCAGGGATCAGTACTGGCACCTTTTTTGTTCCTAATATACATAAATGACCTGGTCAAAGATGTGAACGTAAAAATTCGCCTCTTTGCTGATGATTGCATACTTTACTCACAAATAAATAACCCAAATGACCAGATTAACCTAAATAATGCGCTTCAACACATCATAAATTGGTGCCACGACTGGCAGATGGAAATAAATTCGAATAAAACTGTATTTATGACCATAACCAATAAAAGACAACAATACTCCTTTCCTTACCAGATAGGCAATAACCTCTTGGAACAAGTCGGTGAATACAAATACCTCGGCCTCAATATAAGTCAAAATTTACGTTGGGACTCACACATTCACTCCACAACTAATAAAGCTCTAAACAAACTGAGTTTCCTTAAACGAGTCTTAAAATTTGCATCTCCTGCCACTAAATTACTAGCCTACAAAACTTTAATACGTCCTATGCTCGAGTACGCCAACGTCGTCTGGTTTCCCCACACAGTCTCCGGCATCAATAAGATAGAAAGAGTTCAGAGAATGGCCGCGAGGTTTATTTGCAATAAGTATAGTAGGCACGTCTCTCCCTCTGAACTTTGCAGGCAACTGGGTCTCTCCTCTTTAGAAAAAAGAGCAAAAACAGCTAGACTTAAATTTCTATACGAATTAGCCAACGATCATTTCAACCTACCAAAAGAAAATTATCTTATCCATACAAGCAAACGATTAACACGGTACAACCATGGCAAGCTTTACGAGGAAGACGTCGCTCATAATAACTGCTTTAAATTCTCTTTTTTTCACCGAACCATTAACGAATGGAACCACCTGCCTCAAAACGTTGTTCATTCCTCTTCTATTGAAATCTTCCTCGATTACGTAGATGCCCACTTTTCATCATAAACTAACATTTTATGCTGTTTTTAAAAGTGCAGTGTATCTATTGTATTGAAGTTGTTTACTAATTTTTCATTCGCGACTTCTATATTTGCTTTGAATATTTACCTGCAAATTGTGTGTTGAATATTATTTTTCTGCTTGTAATATCTCAAACTGTACCACCCTACAACAACCCCGAATGGGGTTAGTAGTATTGGAAATAAATAAATAAATAAATAAAAATCTCAAACCATGGGGAGCGTTTGCAATTTAATGGTGGACGCCTTCTGCGGAGATTGGCTGCAAGTGCGCATGCGCTGCGTCGTCGCTTGGCGGGGAGGAAAGCAGGCGGAAAGGCGGAGATATTTGCAGACGATCTAAGCTTTCGCCACCTCCCCCTCACAGCTCGTTTTGCAAACGCGGCCTACAAACCAAATGACCGCGATCGAGCACTTGGAAACTCTCTGAAATTTATGGCCTCGAATGAGCCATGCCAACAGCAACGCCACCGCAGTGGAGTGATGCCATAGAGTTCAGTTCGTCTATAGACCGTTTTACCGCCGGTAGCGCCATTTTGGGAGCGAGAGAGGAAAGAGGAAAGGGCTACCGGCGCTTTCCCCCTTGCTTGTTGTGTAAAACGAGTGGAAGTCCCCGATGAGAGGCTTGGCTGGTGTTGGGTGTATGCAATGCTTGAACTTTTTCGTGCTTTTTTTTTTTTTTTTTTTATCAAACTCCCAAACTTAATTAGAGCCTAGGTCTTCGATGGCGACTCTCCCCCGGTCATCGGGACACCATTTCTCGGTCATAGGGTGCACGAATAACGACAAAAAGCGTCGCATACTGTCCGAGGACCAGTGTAACTTGCATGAAATCCGGCAAGGCGAGTGCGGCCGCAATGTTTTTAAGCTCCATCACTTTCTGCGTGACTAAAAATGCTGAACCATTTATCAATTTTTGCTTGCAATGGGCCTATTTTGCCGTAGCCGTTTTAATAATCAACAAGCAATATACGACACGGGAACCTCAATTAATTTTCGTAAACACCCGGAGCTGCTACAGAGCGTCTTGCTGCGCTGCTTTTATCTTGCGTGTCCGTGTTCTTATATTTCATTGTGGAGGAATGCCGAAGACGTTCTAGATGTACTTATATTGAACCGCAGAAAGCCTCAAAGCAGCCCTGAAGTATTAAACTAATTGATGCAATATTTTGAGTACTCACCTCCAATTTCTATCGCTGGCACGTTCGCTCCCGCTGTTCCCCCCCGTCACCGCACTGGCGTATGCCATGACTCGAACAAAGAAACGTGCACACTGGGCTCGAAAACGCAGATCGCAACACACGAGACGTGCCCTGCAGTGACTATCCAGCGCTTCAAAGCGCCCAATCAACGGAAACAACCCATTAGCCTTACTCCAAGGAGCGCTTTTGCGTGCTCGCCGGTATCGCGCAGAAGATCGCGATTCAGGAAAACCGATGGAACTAACTTTTCAACAATTTCCAGCCTTACCCGGCGGTGGAAATGAGCCTTCAACTAAGTGTTGTAGATGATAAAATTGAATCAGTCACCACCGCGAATTATCAATACTAAGATCAACTCAGTTACAAAATTTTACAAGCTGAAACAGCAATTATCACAAGAAAACTCGTATGCATCTTCCGAGTGTAACCCATGTTCATCGGCGGTACAGCATTGGGTGCGCGTTACATTCACAAAATCTTTTGACCACAGTCGAGAAAATGGCGCTGACGAAACGTCCTTCGGGTTGCGGACGCAATCCACTGCCACCAGAGACCGGGGTCATGTGGACAGCGATGAAGCTTAAAGATATTGCAGCCGCTCTCGCCTTGCCGGATTTCATGCAAGTTACTTAAGTCCTCGGAGAGTATTCGACGCTTTCTGTCGTTATTCATGCACCCTATGACCCAGCAATGGTATCCCGATGACCGGGACACTGTCGTAATCAAAGCCCGTGGCCCTAATTAAGTTTGCGAGTTTAAAACAGAAAAGGAAGCGCGAACGAAGTTTAAGCACTGCAGACATTCAACACCGGCCCGGCCTCTCATCCGGGACTTTCACTCTTTCTACACAACGAGCAAGGAAAAAGCGCCAGTAGCCCTTTCCCCTTTTTCTCTCGCTTTCTTTCAGTAAAACGGTCTATAGACCATTTCATATAGCACTCTCAGGGCGGCATCATTTTTTTTATACCGCAGCGCCCTCTCCACACATCCGGGAAGTTCAGTAGGTTCGGCGTCGTAAAACGAGAGAGAGGGCACGCGCCCGACTCTGCTAGCAGACGACAAACCGGGACGTTGCCGTTCTCCATCTTTAGGCTGTTCCGGCGGGCTGTACCGAACATCGAACTCTCGCTCGTGGCTGCCATTACGAAGTGTTTCGCGTTCTTGGAATATTTATGGCAACTACAAAATCATGCTTTAGCGCTCTGTTGTTTTATTTCAGTAAATGATCAACTAGCGTATCTTTGTTCCGTTACTTCAATAGCAGTGGAGTCGGCCGGCACCTCAACCACTGCGTCTATTGCGCCAGAAAAGAACGTTTTTATTTATTATTTCGGACTTCCACTCATTGACGCTGAACACCTCTCTTACAGTAAAAATGAGTACGAACTTCGTATGGTATATAGCTACAGCAACCGGATTTACGTTTCGCCGGAGCAACCGGCCACACCAACAGTTTTTCCTCCTGTTTTTTTTTTTTTTTATTCGCACGCAGGTAACATTGCAATTAGACTCGGTTAGCCTTTTTATCGAGCATAGCATTACACGACAACCTGCATATCTAAATCCGCGCATCTGCGCTTGAAATGTCCAAAATGACGCGAGTTTAAACCGAGTTTGAACGCCAGCAGGATGTTAGGTGCAGCCTACTCGGCGGAGCAGACGACAGTTGGGACGAGACGGGGAGGGCATTTTTTCTCTCTCTGCTCTTCCTAGTGGAGCGGTCTATAGAGCGGATTCGATCCTTCCCGTGCGTTTAAAAAAAATTATGGTATATGTAGATAGTCGTTAACCAAAAAGCAATATGTTACTTTTATGATGAGGGAACGTGTGAATTTTCGACACCAGTTACGCGTAACGTACAAGGTTAAGGTTTCTCGAAGAACATCTGCACATGTGAAGATACATGTTCATGTCAAATAAACATTGGAAGATACAGTAAAACCTCGTTATAACAAACTGGGATATAACAAACTAATGGATATAACAAGGCAGTCATAATTCCCCTTGCTTGCTAATAGTGGGAAGAAATGGACATTGGCTATAACAAACTAATGGTTATAACGAAATAATTACGATCGCTCCTTCAACTTTGTTATAACGAGGTTTTACTGTAGCTAGTTTTATTAACTCTATTTTGCAGCTCCTTCCCTTCTACGTCAAGAAGCACCTGGCTGAATATCCCGGATTCGCGGGCCTTTTTCTGGCCGGTGTTGTCTGCGCAGCAACAAGGTATATGTTTCTTGCCCGTAAATTTTAACTGAATATTTTCAGCGCAAACGGTACGCACCACTCAGTGATCATCCCATACCTTAGAGGCAGCTCATCGTTGCTGAGTGGTACTATAAAGGTCAATTAAATTAATTGTAAATCCCATGGTCTCACTCTTAAAGTAAGGCTGTACAATATATTTGAATACGGCACTTTCTCGAAAGCTTCATAAACAGTAGCAAAAATTTGGTTAACAGCCTTCAACGTCCCAGAAGCTTCCCTGTATAATCTTGTTAACAACTTCTACTGCCACCTCGTTGCGGTTGCGTGTTTTGTTTAGCAATTAGCCTCCTTCCAAAAACAAAAAAAGAAAACTAAAATAGGTTTGTCTTGTTTTATAAAACTAAAACGAACTGTCATCTTGACAGTTATTTTGAAGAATGAAATATTCTGCAGAAAAAAAAACGAAATAATGTATCTTAATGAATAATACACCTGCTTTAGCGTGCCCCGTGTCTCATTCTCTTATGTCATGATGCTGTCCAGGGTTAAATTTACTACTGTGTTCGAGGTCACTAAGCCCAATAACGTCGTCGTGAAATTTCGCACGTAGAAAATAGCAAAGTTCGATATCATTCCACTGGAAATTCCGGAAAATCTCAACCTCAATTTCGACTTACGTGTTAAACTGAGGTGTAAGGAGAAGCTGAAAAATAAGCGTAAAAAACAAACATTAACGGTAGCTCATGAGCGTTAAATGTCTCAATGAAGTAATAGAAACAATTAACAGCTATTTAAACTGCCCTTCGACTTTTCTCGCCGGTCGACTAGTTTTTGCTAATAATGCTCAGGCTACTACATCAATAAAGTAACTTAAATTTGACAAAAAATTAAAAACTAAATTTGGAAGGTTTGACAATTTACAGTGCCCAACGGACGCTGGTTTGAACATTAATAATTTTAGTTTTAAGTTGTGGGATATCTTTGCAATGTGAGCGGTTTCACACTTTTATGATATATTTCGCGACTGACTGTTAAAGAGGCCTTTTTCTCGCATGGATTAGTGAAATCATTTGACACAGTATGATCTTTTTCAATTATTAAAACGGCGAACATTATTTTAGTATTAAAGTTATCTTTGTATGCTTTAAATTTATATAATTCCATGCTAATAAGGATCCGTACTATTGGTGTGAAGAAGTGTAAATGTAAATGCATTTTAATGCGCAGAGTTTGGAACTTAAGCGTTTTATATTCTCAAGTTGGTGGCAATAAGTATTCAGTTTCATACTCTGATATAATATTGTAAAGCAGAGACGTCATTAGCAGCTGACATATTATATTTTGTCAACGTTTACAATATTCTTGAGAAATAAAATTATTTATTAAATGTTTATAAACTATTGCTTACTCTCGTAAAGATCTCCCGAATTGACAATGATAAATTATTTACTTCCAGCACTGAAAGGGAAAGGGTCAGCGGAATTAGCTGTTTTAGAACTCTGAGAGCCTGGTCGTAAACACAAGCGGATGAAATTGAAGATAGCTACTTTCACCAAGAAAATGTATAAAAAATAATTTGTCTAAGATTCACGTATATTTTTTTGTGAAAAAAAAACGATAAAAAAAGTAAACGCGACAATATTACCGTTTGTTTAGGTGAGTTTTGCAGCTAGAGGAAATAATCACGATAAGTAGCAAAATAGACTAAATATTTAATTAAAATTTTATTACTCGAAATAAACATAAGGTTCGAATTAGCAGATTGTCGAACGCCACAGGAAACCCATTAATCAGCGGATTTATAAAGACTAGGAGCGCATGGGAATCTCGGAATGGCGCTGACGTTATCACTTCAGCTACAAGCGTAAGGCTGGCGGTGCGAATACGATGATCTAAAAAAAAGATGCTGAAAGGCCGCGCAGCCGAGTCTAAGACGGGTGCGTGTTCTGAACCCAGAAAAATCAAGTACGTGCGACCAACCATGTTTTTTGATAAATGACTCATTCAGTTTTTTTTCCAATATGCCTCGCAAATGTTCTAATTGAAGCTATATGTTGATTTTCACCAATTAAAATGTTTAATAACAAATTTTAGCTAAGTATCCGAAGAATTGTGAAGGTTAGTCGTCTATACTAGCTCCCCCTGGTTGTATAACACACCTGCTCAGATGACATTAGTGTAACTTCACGGGTTTTTCTAGAGATAAAAAGGTGAAGCCTAAGAAAAACGGTTTCTATGTGCCTATGATCATTATATTGAAACAATGTTGCGAATTCTGTGTTGCAGCACAATATCGTCCATGATCAACTCTCAAGCCACTGTTCTCTACATAGACGTTGTGGCTCGGTTTGTCACTCTAACAGAAGCTAAATCCACCCAGGTTACAAAATATCTGGGTATGATCTAACGTTTTATTTATATTAAGAGACGATCACCTTTACATATGTTAGGTTGATTGCCTCAAGTACTGACGCCGGTAAACATCATTAACATAATACCGTCCTTCTAGTTATTCGCCCACGCATAATTTGAAATGTGAACTATGATCATTCCTGTTGTTATGATTACGCATAAATGGACACAAATTTGGTGAGAATAATATATATTTTGGGGGTCAGCGAAATACATTTTGGAAGGATTACGGATTACAGTGTTAACAATAATGTCTGCTACCTCCCCGAAGAAAGAGATGGAAATTAAATCCAGTATAAAATGTTCTCGATCGTAGAGCCTAAAACTCATGAGGACTTCGCCCTCCCAAGACCTGTCTTCCGTTTGCAGGCAAAATGAACCTTTTATTGGTTAGTTCGTTCATTGAAATATTTGCTAAAGTAAGGAGTACGTATTTGGGACTACACAAAAAAAAAAAATTGAACGTTTTTGTGGAATTAAAAACCACCTTGTGCGGCAACATATAGTCCAGCTGGGCTTTTGAACATCACGACGGCGCACTTCCAGAGTCGAGATATCAAGTTCCTATGACGGACTTATGATATTGCGTTTGACTATATTTAGGTGCTTGCAATAAGATGATGGAAACTTGCAAGGTGTACTTACGACACTATATATCACAGAAATTAAACTTAATATATACTACTGTTTCAAACAGCAAGTCAGAAGATGCATATTTATTGGTCTCTCTCGTGCTCACAGATGTAAAACAAATCGGCAGTGAGTTGCAATTGTTCAAGTTATGTAGTGCCTTAAAAAAGTTGTAAACCATTACAACCCGCTAGAGCTCAGGTTCTTATTTCGCTGCTTTCTTATTTTCGTTGACGCAAAGCTACACGTATGTCGTTTTCGGCGTAAGAGAAATGCTCGTGAAATGGACCTGAGTCATTCGGAACCGTACGAAGAAAGTCTAGTCGCCACATTGGCGTGCACTCGCTCGATCTTCCGCGGTAAAGTACGCGACTTTCAAGGCAAAAGACACCGATTCTGTGCCCGGTCGCTCGTTTAAATCGATGTGCTGCTTGCTATAAAGAACAAAGTACTGTTTAATAGCGTTGATCGGGGTCGCTGCAGGGACCTCCACGGCACTGTATTCATGCTGCTACTCCGAACCGAGAAGTTCGATGTACGTGTTGGTTGCATCTCTCGTAAGAGTGTATGATGTCAGCGAAGACGAGGGGCACCAGACGTAACTTCCAAGGCGCCTCTGATTGGTTCAGTCGCAGAGTGACTCGGCTACGGGTCTGAAAAATTGGTTTGAAAGCGATGGCCCCAAACCTGTCGCTTTGCGATCGCGACACTCGCTTTTGCAACACAACTGTTGCGCGGAAGTTGACAATTATGAACGCGCCTTTATAAAATTGCAAAGAATGTGGGGAAGTTACTTGCTACTCTCCCAACCCAGAGCAATAACACGTTGACTATTACATTTAACGTAAGGACAAGAATATAAGTGACATAGAGCTGGTTGGCGTACGACTGTCCTAGAGGGTAGAAAAAAGAGGCGAGTACTGTAAGACTGTCCATAAACTTTTAAAGAGATGAACTTGCAAAAAAAGGCGCAAAGGAAAGCGTCAGCTTGATATTAGAAAAACGGACGAAGAAAAGACGGAACAGGACAAGCGCTATTTTGTCTCGTTATGTTTTTTTCTTCTTTCGTTCTTCGTTCGTTTCTGTCAGCTCAAGCTCACCCTTCATTAATATGTACCAACTAAGTTAACTAAAGCCTGCGTCGAAAGAAATGTGGCTGATCCCAAGCAGCGCGCTACGGCGGCTTTTATGAATGCATTATAATTGTCCAGAATAAACTCGTCTACATGGCCAACAGAAGTCTAGATGTCTAGATGAGCAACAGCTGGCGGAGTTCGAACAGGATGCCTCCGCGTGAAACCTGACTGCGCTCGCTGCCCATCCCGGACAGCGAGCGCGGGTGCAATGAGGCAAAACATCTCTGACCCGATTTTCTTCCATGTGCAGCTTTTGCGGTCGGCATTGTTATGACGCTTTTTAGCGTGGCCATTCCTTACCTGGGCTCAGCAACCAGGGTAAGAAATGACAGGTTTTATTGTTTTGACTGAAAAAAATGTAATGTACACACAGAAAACAACGCAGGTAGCTTGCTAGAAAAATGCCCAACAAGGAATAAGCTTGGCAATCCCACGGGCCTAGATTGGTCTTGTACATTTTTGCTCCAATGCGTTAGTTTATGCCAGAGTACTTTTATTTGGCGTTACAATGACCTTCCGCTGGATAGTCACATAATTGCCAAAGTGCCAGACTTAAGCCAAAGATGACAGGTATGAAGTGAAGAACCAGCAGGGAAGAATTAATTTGGCACTCGTAGGAAATTTAAAACCGAACTTTCCACGTGAAAAACGAACAACCAGAGGTAAAGGATGACTCTTACAGTTGTGTGGCCATTTAGGCCCAATGATGCTAGATGAGAGCGAACCTACAAGTAGTAAAGCGTAACTTTGGCATTCGTCTGGTGAATTGGGCCAAGGTCCCAGTATTTTGCCAAAGAAAGTCGTTTGGCTCTGTCTCGGCTTTAACGAGCTTTTTAAGGCCTTAAATTTTCATTAAGAAAATAAATTTGTACCAAAAAAAAGTGTTACTTCGACAGCGTAGAGCAACGACTTAAAACGCCTTATTGTAATTTTTTATTATAAAACACCACATGGGTGATTTTTAAATAAATACAATCTCTAATTATTTATCTGAACAAATGTCTGTTTGCCAAATAATTTCTTGCACTTCAATCTAAGTAGTTGAATATCCAACTACTTAGATTGAGAAGTAGTTGAATATCCAACTACTTTTCCTGATCTTAACTTATTCAAATCAATGTCCTGTTAAAATAGATTTTTTTTTTATGTACCGCACCCTCCTCCTGTCACACGCGTAGCAAATTTTTAAAGGGCAACTCCGCTAAAATATTGACTTTTTATAAAACAACGCAGTCCCTCCGCCGAATCATCAGAGAAGCCTGCACGTTATATATTATGACGCTACCTCTCCCTAAATGTTTATTAAACCGGCCAACGAAGTCGGAGCAAGTCGTAGCAACTCCACGGTCACCAAAATCCACCCAATATAGCGGGTGACGCGCGACGCGCGGAGCAGGCCAGTCAACGCCGCTGTGTGTACACAGCGAACACTGCACGGAACGTCAAAAGGAGGTTTTAAAAGATTTCTAGAGTGGCGGTCTCTCTCTCACCCTTTCATTCTCTCTCTCTCTCCCTCTCACTCTCCCATGCGAGCAGGAGAAATTAATTTTGCTGTCCGGCGGCCATCTTACTCAGGGCAAAAAAGACGCGGCGTTAACTGGGGCGCTTGCCGTGCTCTGTTAATTTTGGGGCTGCGTATTACAAAGGAACAAAAAAGCAAACAATAAGGTTGGTATTGTTTTAAAGGACTCAAAGGCCGCTTAAGACCCATTGGATTCTTTTTCCTCGCATAACTTATTTTAACCTTAGAGTTACCTTCGAAATATTACAGAAGCATCTAGGCCGAGTGGAAGGACGAACAGATGTTTCCTTTTTTATTTTAGTTGTAGACATGAACTCATATCTTTGATTGTTTTTTTTTAGCCTGCTTATTTATTTTAAATACTAACAAAATAATAACGCACACGATGATGAGCTGAATACATTAAATTAACTAAATAAGTCGAAAGAGCCATTGCTCTCCGGCAGGCTGCTGATAGATGCAAAATTAGTGAAGAAATACAATATTTTCCCATAATACAGGTATCAAACACTCAAATTATTCAGTTCAAACTACTAGTTTTTCAAAGTTTCTCGTTATTTAGTTGTCTTCAGCATTTTTAATGTTTTCGTAGTGAATACATAGCATAACTCTCACGATCGCGAAAATTTGTGCAAGTGAACTACCGCCGAAACCGGCAAATTGAGAATTCAGTGAAATATCAAACTCCTGAAAAGAAAGTCGTGTGTTGAACTTGTTTTCCGGATGCACGGCTGTTATAAGCGCACCGCCTCGAGTTTTAGATGCAACGTACTCAGATACAAAATAAGCGTTCTAAGTCGCTACGACACTCACTGCTTTTCGCAGGTATGCTCAAAATGCAGGAAACATAGTTGGATGCATCCCGGTCAAAGTCTTCTGGTTTGACCGCTTGGGTCAACGTAGTCATCTTTGAAGTATACCGAACACAAAACGTCAGCATTCTTAGGCGACCAACCATCCCCCAGGCGAATAGCACGCTCCCACGCAGCACACTGATTGTTTTTTTTTTCAAAACCTGCGACGTGCAAACAGGTTTAATGCTCTATAGCGCCGTTATAACCAACATATTAACCGATCTTTCTCACGTAAGCCTGCTCACATGCAGTAGTAAGCTAGAGCGAGTGATCGAGAATCGTTGCAACGCGCTTGCTGCATATACTTCCACACGGAAAGTAATTCCTGCCGTTTTCACAGTTGGTTTTCACGCGGTTTACGCAGCCGAAAGCGATGCAGGAGCCCACCATCACCTTCGGGAGCCGCTGCAGTTGCTTTACAAAGAGTTGCCTCCAATGAAATGCCGCACATCATATCAGAAACTTCCTTGGTCGTACTGCGCCAAAAAGTGCGTCAATCCGTCTTCTGACCCGAGCAAGATAGCGACGGTCCGTGTTTTTGGCGTCACCTACTGATCTGTATTATTTGCTGGATCGCATTTGACCAACGAGGAAGAGGGGCTTAGAGTGATAAACCGGAAGCTCGGAAGTAGCACCCTTCCGGTAGCCCACATGCTGCACGCAAAAGTGACCACCCGTCACGTGAACTCACAAGAGCCGTGACGTCACCGGTAAGATGGCAGCACTCAGAGCTGGCGGATGCGAGTTTGTTCGGTGCGCGGTGGCCGTGATGTGCAGCTGATTTTTGACAATTTCGGGCTTCTTCGTGCTTGCTGACGCAGGTAGAATGTGAAAATATGAAGGAATAAGACTT